AAAAAAAAAATAGACAGGCGTGCCATCACCTGAAGTAAAAGTCTATTTGCTTAACAATCATGTTTGCTAGAGACGTATCATTAGTAGGCGAGAAAAGCATAGGCGGAGGGGAAGGAACAAGCGGCATAGCTCTGAAAGACTCCTGACCCATTGTCGGGACATAAATAAAAGGAGACGCCATATCTGCAGAATCCAGAAACACGGGTTAAAAACATCCCAAAAAGGTCATCAAAATCTAGACGAAGTAAAAAATCCAATAACTCACCGAATCCCATCTGTCCAGCAAAAACTCTCACGGGTGGGGGCACCATAAAAGGGGCGGCACCAGGTGGCAGAGGAGACGGCATGTACCCCATGGGAGGTGGTACGTACTGGGGGGGATGATGAACCTCTCGGCGGTCCTGATCCCGCCTGCCTCCATGGTTATTGTGGTATTGCCCATCTCCCCTTGGGCGGGACCCATAATTGCCCCCCCTTCTGGAGTTATTATTCCTCTGATTAGAGTAGCTGTTGCCTGCATGTGACTGAGAACCGCCAACTGCTCTTGGGCCTCTAACTGAAGCATCCATAACAGCAGGAACCATCCCATAAGNTACTTCGAAAACAGGAAAAGGTGGTGGCATAGGTAAAGGTGGCTGATTGAAAGCAGGCTGAGGTGGGCCACTCACAGAGGAGTTCCCTCCACCGCCGCCGCCATTGCGATTTCTCGCCCTCTGCCTGGTCTGTGGGTGGTTAGCAGTAAAATTACCATGAGCATTATTATTGACTGGTTGATGAGGAGGTGGAGATATGATAGTAGCCTAAATTCAAAGGAAAACAGACAAATCATTATGACCTACACTCAAAAGTGCAAATATTTACAACTTAAAAGAGATTAATCACTTCAACAACAGCAGCCAAAATTAGCTTATACGGATTTAGTATCCCCGGAAGAACAAATCACAGGAAAATATGCAAACCCTAGCCAATAAATCGTATAAAACACTAGATCAGATATATTCCAGGCATATCTTGACCTGTGTTGAAGAGGATAACCCATCAGAAATAGGCCTAGGGCTATCAGATGATGATCTAGGAACGGGCCGGGTTGTTTCAGAAAGGGCCGGCCAGGAAACAGCTCCACCCATAACAGAAACGGGCTCAACGACGCCGTTAACCGGCCTGTTCCAAGCAGGCCTCCTCTGTTGACCAGCATTGATGTCGCCGTTAGCATCAGGGGTCTCGGGCTGGGCTTCCGAGCCCGAACTCTCAACCACAGGGTTCTCCGGAGACTGCTCCGCCGGCGTAGGAGACGAAGAAGACCCAGGATCCCCGGCGGCGGTTGGAGACGAGTTCTGCTCGGAATCTCCGCGGACGACGGAGGCCCAAGCAGACGTAAGGCTCCGCCGCTGCGACTGGGGACTGCTTACACCACCGCCATTGGATTCGGCGGCGGCAGTAGGCCGCGAGACATCGTTCATCTTTCTAAAGAGAAGAACAATAAAATCTACACCAAATTAAAAATTAAATTATTCAGGCAGTGAGAAATCTATGCGCAAAAAAGCGAAATTGTTTGATTAATTGATGAAAAAAACCAACATATGTAGGAATTAATTGAGCAAAAGAGGAGGCAAAAAGGGGGCGAAAGTTTGGCGGTGATCGGAGAATTTGTTTTAGGGTTTCAGCCGTCGGAGTTTGGTTTCTCTCTCTAAAAGTGATGTGGAGTAGAATGTATATTGTACGACATTCATTGTGAAAATTAAACACACAAAACTATTAATTAAAAAAAATAAAAATTAAAAAAAAAAGGACTGACCGTCTCCTGTACAGAATTGGTTTTATCTCACAATCCCAATTTTAGCCCTGTTCATGTATTGGTTTGGTTTGGTGGCGTAAAACCAAGGTTATGTTATCATACCTGGACTTTTCATGGCAATGATACATTAAACAATTCATGTGTATTTATATACCTAAACCGTCATAATAACATTGTTTCTCATCATTAATATTTACTACTTATATTTAAAATAAAACAATTTAAAATATATATGCAAAATAATAATCTAGTGGAACTGAGTTGTTATTGGGGAACAGTTGAGATGTTCGGAGTATTTTCGAGGTGTACCCGTAAAATTGCAAGGCGTGACCTTGAAGGCCGATCCCGTTGGTGGGACCCGTGTGGTGCTTGGGGTTCAATGGCTGGAGGGTCTTGGATTGGTTACCACTGCTTACAAGGTGGGAATAATAGAGTTTAATTCGAAGATCGACAGTTGTATTCAAAATGGACGACAGTAAAGGTATAAAGAGCAGAGCGTGAAAAATTCATTAAACTGTGGAAAGATAGAAGTCAACTTTTTGCCATCAAAGTAAGCGATTGGTATTGGGAGTCAACGTTGCTTTTTTAGATTCCCAAATTCCATGGGGGCATGGAAGCCGCCGAGTACGTGAACGAGCAAGTATCGCTTGATTACGAAGGACATTCTTTTTTTTTTTAATCGAGAAACTTGAGTCGAGCAATACAATAACAAACAAGAATGAGGAGGTGACTTTGAAGAAATTTGTTCTTGAAGACAAGGACATACTCAAAGGGGACGAAAATGATGCCTATCAAGTCTTCGATAGGCCCGTGGTCCAGGTCGAGCAGTAAAAGACACGCAAAAGACACCCGTGCGGCAGCAGCGGACCACGCAGAGACCGCGTGATGAAGATCGCGTGTCCCAACTGCCGATAAGCCGCTTGCCCGCGCCTTGAATCGCCGATAGGTGCTTCTCGAGCCACAACCGTGCCTCTTGAAACGAATAAAATTACAATAGAATTTTGGTGAAAAACTAAAGCAAAGTGTTTGAACAAAAGTTCGGGATTTTCTACTAACTAAGACTATTCAAAGATTCAATTCATCATGAAAAATAGCAAGAGGAAGGGCCTTTATATAGGCACCAAATAAATCTAGTCCTAATCTAACTATATCTCTAATAAAGCAATAAAATATTAAGTATCCTAAACAATCTAGAAATCTTACAGCAATAAGGAAACTAAATAACTAAGGGATCTTGAAAAGCCTTGACTTGCACTCCAAGTAGAAAGAATAATCTAGAGAAGTTTCAGCTCAAAAGACTCCTAGAAAACTCCTTTTCTTGCCCGACAAGTCGTCCCCGCGCGTTGTCCCAGGCAGTCCTGCACCCGCGCGCGCTGATACGGAAGTGGAGGTTAGCACCTGCGGAGCTAGTGAAATTGGGAAGCTAATATGCGAAAGTGGCGCATCGTGCCTTGATGCGCGCGGTAGGGCGGAGCACACGCGGGTGGCGACGGGTGCACGCGGATGCGCCGTAGGCGATTGGAGCGCGTGCGGTAGCTGGGGTACGCACGCGCTGGAAGCGGACAGCAAGGGCGAGGCGTGCGATAGTGGGCGCGACTGGGGAGCACACGTGCGAGACCTAGTCACACAAGGATTAGGCGCCGAGGGGCGCGCGCATACGCGTGAGGCGCGCGACACGTGAGGCGGTTAAGGGATTAATGCGCAAGCTTCTAGAATTGTTTGGAGTGCAAGACAAGTAAATAGAAAATCTAGTAGATTTAGGATTTTATGGTAGTAGGATATTTACTTGCCTTAGGATTTAATATTTTATTATTTTATTAGTTTCCTAGTAAGATTAGCACTAGAGGTAATTAGTACGTATAAATACCCCATGTACCCAACATTATTTTATGTCTTGAATGTCTTGAATCTTGAATTGAGTATTGAATTGGTGAGCCAATTGTGAGGGGAACTTTATGTTCTTACGTGTGTTTAAACAAGGACGTTAGTGCGTGTTTACATACAGTGTCGGAGAGAAGGCCATTAGAGCGTCTTGAAGTCACAGTGTCTAGGAGAAGGCCGATAGTGCGTCTGTTAGATACACCTATCGTGAGTAAACGAAGGCCCTGAGTGCGCGTTTATTCACAACCCCGTATAGACGAAAATACGATCCGTCATCATTGGTGCTTTCATTGAGAGGTGTTGATCGTAATTTTGTCTATCTATCTTTTTTCTTTTTTCGGTTTTGCCGTTTGCTGAGGGGCCGAATTTTTGTTCTTTTTGGTTCAAAATTTTCGAATTTTTTTGTTAGAATTTTTCATTATTTTTTCGTGAGTCTTAAAAAAAAGTGTCATCTAGTCCTTTGTTTTATATTTTTTCGGTTATTACCTTTTGTTGAGGGGTCGAATTTTTGTTTATTTTTTTGGTTCGAAATTTTTCGAATATATAGAGTCTTAAAAAAAAAAAGAAAGATTCATGATGTCAAACCGTGAAAGGATCCAAGTGTTGGAAGATAACATGAAGATCATTGGTGATAGCGAGCATGTCACCAACGAGAACTTGGAGAGGATTGAGTTGATGGTCTAGGACTTGGCCGAGCAGCTCACACGCATGCACACGCGGCCAAGAAGGCGTCACGATACAAGGTCCACGGCGACGAGCACCGGGACCGAACACGAGGACGATCGCCGATCGAGGGGCACAGGCGCTGTAACGCCCCACTTTTATTTGATGAAAGTCAAGGATTTTTCAAAAAGTCAACTTAAAATTTTCAAAATTCATTTCATAAATCGGTGGCGCTACTCAACTAAATCACATAATAACATTAATCATACTTTCATAATTCATAAATCATAAATCCGAAGTTTCCATAAATCTCAAGTTCGTCCAAAATATTCATTAGGGAACTCCCAATCTAAAGTTCTCCAAATCCCAAAGTCATAAATGCATAAATATAACCAATGTTCGTAAATAACGACAATATTCCAAGTTTCATAAATGTAAGCGGAAGCTACTATATTAGGTCAGGTCAACAACCGACCACCACTCGTCTTTGCCTCGTCATCCGACACCAGCTTAACCTGCATCCATGAAGAGCAAGTGGGAGTGAGCACGGTGAACTGTAGTGCTCACTACTATGCACATGAATAATAATAAAGCACGAGAAATTAAATGGTATGGTCGCAGTATGAACATAGTCAATAATTATTCCATCTCCTAACCAAAGTAATTCTCATGTGCACACATATAACGATAGACTGCTGCTCGTATGCCTTTCGGCGAACATAAATGGGGTGCCCAAACAGCAGGAGGCTCAACCGTCACAGCACGCACCTAGTGCTTGGACATGATGTCCATCACCGGCCAGGGCACATTGCCAAGGTCTTACAGATGACGTGGTCCTTAGCAAAGGACAAACGTGGAGATTACCCTTGCGGGGTACGTTCTATAGATATGGGGATAACCGTTCGACGGTCGGTACAGCTCACATCGAAGGTTACATACTCACATGCATACATTGATCATACCCACATAAATAAAGAAATTATCATTCAAGGCATAGACAAATTTTGAATAACCCACCTGGTCTCCGGAGAATAGAAAAATCACAGAAATCATGTAAGCAGGCCGAGAACACAGCTCGTCAAACACCTACGATTAATAAAATAGCCTATAAACGTATATCCGACACCAAGATCATCATAATTAAGGCATGTAAGGTTCACCATCAACACATAAACAAACCCAGCCCATATATATCACATAAGCACATACTTAAAAAGAATTTCCATTTCTGAAAACATAACATAAGATTTTCCAAACT